AGCTCCGTGTGACTTCTTCCTCTTCCCAAAGATGAAAATTCAGCTAAAGGGAAGGAGATTTGAGATGATAGAAGAGATTCAGGCAGAATCGCAGATGGTGCTTGACAGGCTGACAAAGAAAGATTTCCAGGGATGCTTCCAGGCTTGGCAGCGGCGCTGGGATCGTTGTGTTCACTCCCAGGGGAACTATTTCGAGGGTGATGGATGAATTTAATACCTGAGATAAGTGTACGGATTTTTATAGGCGCAGTCTTGAAACTTTCCGATCGCACCTCGTATTTACGTCAAAAATATTTGAGGGCGAATATAAAGGTATCGGTACTTTTATTCGAGCTTCCCTGTTATGATTTGCCTACGTATTTTCTGTGGTTCTGTCTTATGTGTTATGTAGTTGATTTTGAGCTTCAGATGATATATATAAGCTTGCTTATTTTCACTTTTAATTTTTCACAACTGCAGGTACGAGGTTGCAGACATGAATACACATAGAACAGAGCTATCGGCCTGTGTAGTCAAGGGACTTCCGAATGCAAAAGACTACATCTATAAACACAGGGATATGTTGCTGGAGGAAGAACGGCAGAAAATTTTGAAAAAAATTGGATCCCTGAAAGTTTAAGGGAACCAAGAAGAGCAACAGTAAAACTAAGATCTCGACGAAAGTAACCCCGGGATGAGACAAAAATAACCTTTTTGAAGATGTCAATTTTGAAGAAGAAATCAAGGTTCAACATGACGGTGTGATAGGACATCAGCAGAGTGGTAAAGAAGACGGCAAATGAAAAATAAAGTATTTTATGAATTTAAGAAGGAAGTGTTACTCCTCAGTATGTTATGTTCAAGACGTCTTAATATAACCATGTTATTTTAAACACATTTCGTTTTTTATTGTTAACATTAAAGCTATATTAACCAATTCTTTGTGCGATCGTCTGTAGAGTAAGAAATTACATTGTATTATAATCGATTAACTCGATTAGTCTCTACTAACTGTGTCTAAAACACTTTGGAGCTGATGGTTGCGTACCACTACCTCAAAGAAAACACAGAGCATTTCCATAACAACGATCAGACTGTTCACGTAAGTAATCCCTAATTATTTTGAGAATTGCATAAAACCCATAACTACTCTCTGAGGATAAAATATAGAGTTTTGTGGTATGCTACGCCATGTTAACGTGTGGGTAAATATGAAAGTTTCATAGGATTTAAATGCCTCCTAAAAATTGGTAGACGCTTACAAGTCAACATGACGTAACGACCCAGAAGACCGGTAGAGACATCTTAATTGCCGTGAGATGCACAGATCTCGTGAAATAAGTTTAACTGTTACATGTTCATTTTACATATCTGTGCCATAACTTGGGGCAAAATAGCATACTTTAACAAAGTAAGTGTTGGGATCAAACATTGAAAATTTAGTAGAGCCCCTCACTGTGCAGTTGTCTCCCGCCTCCCGTCTCCTCATTAATCTTTCACTCGGTGACCCTCGCCGGCTTTTACGAATGTCTGAAGCTGATTTTGTCTGTGGATGTGCTTTGAAGCACAAAATGACTTCGGCAAAGTTTAATTTTGTTACCTCCCTCTCACGAAAGGCCTGAGGCACGACAGGCAGCTTCTCGAATGCCTGTATGCAGGTATGATAACCAGTCCTGGGTTCAGTTCCCATCAGGCAGACTCGAGGTGGACTTTTGACATTCGTTTCAGTGTATACGCTGAGAAGGAGGCTTAATATAAGGTTTTGCGTTGTACAGAGTCTTCCGAATCAACATTTATTATTAGTTACAACCAACTGAGTTAGTATAGCAGGTAGCTACGGAATGTACGAACGGGGTTCGATCACTGACAGGCGGAGAGGATTTTTCCTGTAGCCTCTGCGTCCAGACCGACTCTGGGGTCCACCCAGCCTCCTATCCAATGGGTACCGGGGTCCATTCCCGGGGTAAAGCGCTTCTTAAAAAAAATCTGTCTTTTTTGTACACTAGGTAAGAGCAGTCAAATCTGCGGTATATAGCTCCGATACAGATGCACATTTAAAATGGATGTACGAATTCAAGTTGCTGTGTTCAAATTTAAATCGAACTGAAACACTCAGAGTAGACATTACCCATAACGGAATCAATTGAAGACGATTAAAAAAGTCACGGCGAATCAGCGTCTATGCCATATAGTTCATGTGCATAACAAACATAAGTGAAATCGAAGATGGCTGTCTTCGGCGCCGTGTGGTCGGGTCCTTGCTGCCTCCATCATCAGGGCAATCTCATCGCCACGTTTACCTCTGAAACGCTGGTAACCGTCTACCAGACTACCTGGCGCAACAACCTAGAGGACAGCCAGCTTGAAACTCTCCGCCGTGAAACCTTAAATCCTACATTACTAAAAACTCCAGTTCTTCATTACGTAACTTGCTTGTGATAAGATCCTGCAGCATAATCCCGACGCCAATTATTCTTCCCACCTGCATTCTCTTGGGAACAAAACGTTATGTTGCCGAGCTGCATATGAAATACAAAACTTTTGTTCGTCTTTTGCTCTCTAAAACGTCAATCTCGCACGTAACTCCTTTGTGCTTCCAGAAGATGAGACGTGTGGAGGTCGTGACCGATCACTGAACAAATTGCACTTTATATCACGTGGTACCCCACAGTTCCCTTGCTCAACAAACGCTTCAGAATAATAAAATAAATTACTATTACAATTTTCGGAATGTAGAACTTGTGTTCCTTTATTTGCCACCTTAGCGCCGCGTAGTGGGAATGCGGATAAATAATTGTAGGTGCATTGTTAGCTGTAGAGGCAATGATGATGATGATTATGCATTGTTAGTTGTTGATATTGTTGGCCTAAATATCCATGTATCCTGTGCAGTAAACAGTTGGATTCTGAGACTGACGGGCGTCAAATCCGTGTTGTAGAAGCAATTAATTTAATAATTATTGAGAGGTTACTTCTCTGAACATCATTTTAACTTATCATCAAGTGTTCCAGGCTAGTATATTAAAAATATTTTGAGTTAGGGAATTTGCATCGTCAAAATTATAACTGCAGGGCCTAACGTTCTGAAACCACTGTTTATTTAGTGTTAAATGCCTACATTTAAAGGGATTTACTTTTGGTTTTATAAAACCTGTATTAGGACATAAGACAGATATTCCTGAACTCAATTGCGTCCTTTCGTGTTTTGTGAGTGTTGAGTAAAACGTTGACTGCCTTTCATTATTTTCCTTGTCAATACGAATTCTATGAAGCAGGGAAAGACGGGATCTGAAGGTAGGTCATTTAATCTAGACTGGACGAATGAATTTACGAAAGACAAAATATGTGTCTGTACCTAAGGAACAGAACATTCGTCTGCACTTTGAAACGACCCATCCCGATTTACGGATGCTGGATGTCGGTGAAAACAAATTAAAAATTTTCTCGGCGGTGAGTAGAAGGTAGCTGTCTCCTCGGTTGTTGCGCTGTGTAGTCTGGTAGAAGTTCACTAACCCTTCACAGGTCCTTGCTGCCTCCAACATCAGGGTATTGAGCCGAAACGTACTTTCAAGTTGTATAGGTCTCGTCAACGCCTTAGTAGCTTCATAAGTTTATGTTCCGTGGTTCTTGTTGTGATATATTAGTGTTATATTTGCTGTTAATAAAATTATTACTGTATAACTTGAAATCTTCACCAAATATTATTAATCCGATTAGAGAAGGAGTGTCAGATGGGCTGAGCATGTAGCAGGTATGCGGTAAATGAAAAGTATGCAAAACGAAAGCCTGGGAGATCAAAACGTAGAAGCTGGGATTTTTGAATGGATACTAAGGAAGCGTACATGAACCATTAGCCACGATTGGGAACTTGCAATTTTTAATTCCCTGTAGCCTCCGATAACCGTTTACTTCTATAAATTAAATTAAAATATAACGATCGTCCAAGTTCAGCACACTCAGTTTTCTTAAATTTTAAAGTTAGAGTAAATAGCCTTTCGAAACTGAAGGTAGCATCGCTGGCAGCCGTTTGGTTAATTATTGCAGCTGTGAATGTGAAAGAGTCTGGAATTTTCAGAAAGCCCAGTTAAGATTTGGATATACAGTACAGCACTCGGGCATGAAGAGTTATAATTACGCATTTGTAATCGATGACTCTGTAGACGTCCTTGGATTATATTATTTATTTATCCTAATATCTCGGCGAGAATTATTTTTGTCTCCATTAATTTCAATAAACCTATATCAAAGAATTGTAACAACGGTGTTTTCTGATATCCGCTGTTAGTCGAAGAGTCTAAGTTCCAGTTTCTGCTTGTATGCCATAATGAAAAATCAGTATCACTTATAAACAAAAGAGCGCTGTTGAAAAACGGTGTTATTCGGCGTCCCATTTTATCCTTGTCTGGACAACGGGACATCACCCTCAAAAACGGGACAATCCCTCGCGGGACCGTATATCATAGAGTCAAGGAACTGAGCTAATCTCCTTATTGGCTTGTCTTGGCTTCTTAGTCTAGCCTTATTGGCTAAATTAGGCTTGTCTTCTTTCTAACACAGTTTCTATTAATATTAGATTGACTTCTATTTGTTCACGTATTATTTACAATAAAGTAATATTCAATTAACATTTCAAATTTTTTCTGACGTAAATACGTCTGTAAGGAAGGGTCTTTCGGCAAAAAAGTGGAACGAAAAAGTGTAACCTGGTTACCTAGCAAACGTCGTGTTTACTCGGCATTGTTGTTACCTAGGAAACGTTACATTACATTACATTACATTACCTTACCTTACATTACATTACATTTCATTACATTACATTACATTACTTTACATTACATTCAGCTACCACAGACCCATTTTAAGCGTAACTAATTCAAGTTGATTATGCAATGTCTTAATCAAACTTTACTCAATTGTAAAGCATGTATAAAGGAAATATTTAGAATAAAGAAAATATATAAAAATATATAAACTTTCTTACGTCAAATTCTCCGGAACCGTGGTTCCACTGTCAACTTTTTTTTTATTGTTTATGTCGATGACAGGAGGAAGTATACAGAAGTGGCAGTCGTTTACATGATTATGCGGTTCCCGCCACACCATGGGCACAGCGAAGGGCATAGACTGCATTTTTCCTTTTAGCTACTCACGTAGATTTGTAGAACACTTCAGAAAGCAAATATGGAGTGTCCATGCCCTGCCCATGTCACCCTCATTGCAACCAAAATAAAGGTGGTTCGCTTTCTTAACGATGGGGGCCAAATTTCGTTTTTGTGATTTAAAAGTCATTTCTCCACAGATATAACAAACGTTGTTAGGATTATTGACACATCTACGCGAAATTTTGTATATTTTAGTGTTACAAATTTCTCATTTAAGTACTCACAACGACGTTTTTGCTGTTTACTACATAAGTATTCTAAGACTAAGTGAAACACAAAATCCGCACTCCACAAAACACTTGTTTGCCAAACAGAACTGAACCAATTTATTAATCATCCCTTAGGAATGTTGACTAGACCTGCAGAAGGAAATAAAACCTTCTCCACCCTTTTACAGGTTGTTTCTGAAGTAAGTAGACCATTACAATTCTGAAAATTACGAAAATAGAGCGAAACAGCTTGGTATGAATATCTTCGAAATGCGAACCAATCATGCAAAATGAATATCATTTTCGTGTTTAGCAGCTCAAAATTAGTAAAAATTGGTTAGTTTCGTCTCCGATATATTTTGGCTGTTGAACAGTGTTATCGAGGAAACTTCCTCTTATTATCTTCCTACAAAATTGTGTCCAACATTAGTCTAGCGACGCTACTCCATGCGCCAGTGAAATTATTAGGGATAATAAGTGTGGGTTCCGTCGTAATACGTCTACAACTGATCAAATTTTCTACATTCGCCAGATACTATGGAAATAGTGGGAGTACAATGGGACAGTACATCAGCTACTTATAGCCTTCAAGGAAGCCTATGACTCAGTTATAAGGGAAGCTCTTTACAATATTTTATTGAATTTGATGTACCTAAGAAGGTAGTCAGGCAAATTAAAACTTGTGTAAGTGAAATCATAAGCGAAATCCGTGCAGTTGAACTTTTGTCCGATACATCTCCTACTCGGAATAGCCTGAATCAGGGAGATGCTCTATCGAAGCTGCTTTTAGATTTTGTCTTAGAATGTGCCATCAGAAAAGTCCAGGAACATCTGGCCGGTTTGAAACTGAAAGTGATACATCAGATTCTGGTCTATGCTGATGATATTAATCTGTTGGGCGATGATATAGATCAGTGGTTTTTAACCTGGGGTACGCGTATCCCCGGGGGTACGCGAAGACATCTTAGGGGGTACGTGAAATTTAAAATAATATATATTATTTTATGATACACACTGAATAATCAGTAATGTAATTTATTTAATTTATTTTAAATGTAGATTATATACTATATATAACTTGAATTATACATCAACAACTTTTGGGGTAAACAGTTGAAAGGAAATTATATCTGGGGGTACGCGAACAAAAAAAAGGATGAATACCACTAATATAGATAATATGAAAACGAATAAGGAAACGCCCTTAGGGGCTAGCAGGGATATTGGTCTAGAATAAATGCAAAAAAGACAAAGTACATGATCATATCTCGGCATAAGAATTAAGGACAGAACCAGAATACAAGCATAACTAAGGAATCGTTGGAAGATGTGACACTAACAAGTCAATGACATTCGTGACAAAATCAAGAGCAGATTAAATCCAGTGAATATTTGTTGTTATTCAGTCCAAACCCTTTGTCCTCCCGTCTCATATCTAAACAAGACTAAAGATTAAAATGAACCAAAACGTAATTTAAGCAGGTGTGCTGCATGGGTACGAAACTCGGTCTCTCGCTTTGAACTGAGGAACAGAGATTGAGGTTCTTTGAGAACAGAGTGTAGAGGAAGATATCTGGACCTAAAAGGGAGGAAGACGTATCACGGAGAAAGTTGCATAGTGATGAGCTGCAGGGCCTGTACTCCTCACCTGCCTAATATTGTTAGGGTGAGTAAAATGAAGGATGATGAGGTAGGCGGGACATGCAGCACGCATAGCGGGGGAAGGGAGACAGGAATCGATGGAGCGAACTGGATGCAGCTGGCTCAGGATAGATTACGGTGGCGGGAATTTTAAACACGGTAATTTGTTTTCAGTTAACAGCACTGCTACAATGATTGTACCTGATTCCAAAATGCCAGCAGCAAAAGTGACACTTTTCCCAGCAGAATTTGTGCAGTTGGGCTGGAGACAAACCCATTACGTAGGAGAATGGTTAATTTTGGAAACACTTGTTACATCAATTCATCACTGCAGGTATATTTGAAATTGTTCTGCATGTTTCATTGCTGTGTATTTTAATTTAAAATAATTAAAATCATGTCTTTAGGCTTATACACAAATTAGTAGAAAAAGTTAAGTTGAATAATCTCTAGGAATTTAGTCAAAATGGTTTGTAAATCCAGTGAGCACTACAAAGATAATATATGGACTGAAATGAAACTGTTGGAGAATATACTGTGTTTGAAAATGTTTATACTCAGCTTCTACAAGATGATGAGAAATAAGAACAAAGTTTGTATACATTGGGTTTTTGCAGATCACTGTGGATTTGATCTGACTTAAATACTTTATTTAAAAAGAAAAACACTGAAATTCAATGACTGTAGTCACAACTTTTTAAGAAACCCAAGGCGTAGTTAACATCATACTGATGTATTACGAACAAACAATTACATGATTAAAACTTGCTATTTTGTATACTTATAGCTCTACATTATTCAGTGTGATAATGTTTAAAAACTTAAATGCAAAAATAAAATTCTGTTTTAAAACGACATTTAAGAAATTGTTTACTTTTTATTTTGTAGCACATAATGCATGCTGTTAATGCTGTTAACATAGAATGTTTCGCCATGTGCAGCGTGCAGTTAATAAGTTTTGTATGGAACTCTTATTTAGGCTGTACCCTGCTGTTTAAGCTCTTCAATCAATAGGTTAAGTAAATTGGCCTGAAGTTTAAGCGATAAAGATCTTAATTAATACATGAAATATTTATCTGGTTTAGGAAAGACATGTATGTCTTACAGTAATTACTGAAATATCTGCGGGACAGGTGTCACAAGTGCAGATAACTCTTAAATTAAACAAAATCGTACAATTATCTTCCTTTTTAACAGCTATTTATAATTATTCCTGATTTCAGATTACAACATTTAAATTATAAAAAATGTACAACTGCCACGCATGTAGTAAACAAACTCAAGTGCTTTATGATTACTGGAATAAACCATCGCTCTCATCAATAAATATTTGAGTCACAGGTTTCCAAAAAATATACTGTCTTCCTTCACACAGATGACAGATTTCAGATCGAAATGTACATTCCATCTGTTATTGGAATTATATTTTCTCAGTGATCTACTTGAAAGTGTAGTAACTACAATGTGTTTCCTGACACGGTTATCCGGCTACCAACCATAACTGCATCAGTCACCACCTTTCGCATATAATTCCTATAGAAAATAAAAGCATGCTATTTACACACACAATCAGCATGAACAAGAACTTAACACAATGTCACTGTCATGTGAATAATTTTAGCAGCGTTTGCTTTTGAGATTGAGCAGTCAGGAAGAGGCAGTTACGTGTAAGTATGTGAGTGATACACTGCACCACGTGATTCAAATGATTAGTGAAAATCTTCACAGCCACTACATATTAATTAAAAATATAATATAGCCATTTCATTTATATAAAGTATTTGCTTCCTAAATTCCAAGCTCTCGACTTATGTCGGGGTCTGCTTCTATTTGATTTTAGGCCCTGTTCCACGTACCAGCGTTTGTTAACTGGCTGCAGAGTGAGAGCCGTCACTTACAAGAATGTAGTGAGTATTCTGTCCCAAATAGTGGGTTGACGTTAATGTCTGTGATAAGACAAACTTTTGTTTTCGTGAAACTAGTTGGTCCAAGTAAAATGTGTGCAGATAAAATGCATAGTAAAGTGAAAAAGGTAAAATTTTGTCTCACATATTTCCTGTTCAGAATGGCTTGGAACGTGGAATTGCCTTATTAGCATCGCTTTCCATGTTTTCTCTAAAATACATCATTACAATGGTCTAAGAAAACAATGGGAAAGGGAAAATGGAATTGTGTGGTCTATGGTCCTGGCGTGAATTTGTTGGGCTAAACCACAAATACCATAGAGAAAAACACAGTAACTCCGAAGGTCAGTACTTGGGTAGATGGTATAGAAGAGAACGTTTAGAAAACTTAGAATGTGTTCATGTCTTGTAATCAGATTAACGATGAATTTATAATAGAAATATAGCTAATAAATATTTGAGAATTATGGCAAAATTTAAGTCAGGATTGGCTGAAACAAGTCACAATTACAGTGAAGAAAAATTTAAGAGCAAAATTGCATTGTGGGAATGCTTGCTACCTACTTTTCTCTATTAGGATGATGAGATTGGTGGGACACGTACGGGAGAGAGAAAAAATGTTTAGATAGGACATCATTGAAAGTCTCTTAAAGAAATAGGGTGTGTTGTTGTGGACTGTAGTCATCTGACTCACTGTTAGCTGCTCAAGAAGGATGCAGCTACGAGTATGGTTGCAGTCGATGCAGCGTACTTTCACGTTTATTGGTTGTCTCTCTGTGGTGTAATGTAATAATTCTATGTTCTGTTACAGATGGAGAGAGTATAGGAGACTGCATTATTTGTGCAATGTACCGCACTTATAAGTCATCACAAAATATATTAGGCATTGTAATTAAGCCAATTCTCATTTACAGAAGACTGAAATGTAAGTCTTAACCAATTTTGGTTTAGTATAAGATAGTTAGCCATGCGAGAAATGTGTCTCATATTAAGTTCACCTTTCTTATCTGTTCAATTGTTTACAATGCTTTTATTTTCCCGCTTTTCATAAATAAGAAAAAACAGGCTTGTGTCTGTCTCTGCCAATAACATTTGAGCCTATAGATGGATTTTCATGAAATTTGGTATGAATATCATACCACTAGACAACATGGCAACGAAAATTGTGAGGTGGAGGAAGCACTAGTTCTCTTCAATACAGGGTCTTGAAAATTCTGTGTTGTTACATTTTACACAAAAATATAGCATTTAAAACAAAAAGGCTGTGGTTGCTTAATGATGGTGATAATTGATGAACCACTGGATTTGCGTGTGAAATTTTATGTTGCAATAGACCACAATTTTTATATTCAATGTGTCCCAGGAGAAAATGTCGATATTCCGGTAGGTCTTAGTATCGGTCATTCTAAGAAAAAATGTGTATATGTACATGCTTCCTATTCTGAACGGTTTCCGCGATAGAGCTATTTCACTGTACAGTAGTTTGGTTTTATGAGGAACAGCAGAAATGAGAATAATGATTCGTTAAATATCAAAATTGGGAAAGACACAGTAGAAGAAGTGAAAGAATTATATTTAGGAAACAAAATCACAAAAGATGGACGAAGCAAGGATAACATTAAAAGCAGATTAGCACAAGCAAAAAGAGCCTTCTTCAAAAAGAGAAGTCTACTAGTGTCAAACATTGACCTGGGATTAGGAAAGATTTTTCTGAAGTTATATGTTTGGAGCACAGCGCTATACGGAAGCGGAACATGGTCAGTGGGAAAGCCAGAAAGAAGGAGGGTAGAAGCATTTGAAATGTGGTGCTATAGAAGGATGTTGAGAATTAAGTGGACTGATAAAGTACGAAATGAGCTGGTCTTAGACAGGATAGGCGAAGGAAGGAGTCTATGGAAAAATCTTACGAGAAGAAGAGATAGGATGGTGGGACACATTCTGAGGCACCCCGGATAGATTAATTTGGTAATGGAAGGAACAGTTGAAGGGAAGAATTATAGGGGGAGACAAAGATTGGAAAATGTGACGCAGATTTTTGAGGATGTGGGCTGCAAAAAATATATGGAAATGAAGAGATCGGCGCAAGATAGGCGAAAATGGAGGACCACATCAAACCAGTCGGAAGACTGATGACACACAAACAAATTGCCCTTCCCTATTGGATGTTATCGCCCGCATAAACGAAGGCCAAGAAGCACTCAGACGAGCAATACGCCATGTCCTCACACGAGTTGCAAAGTGCATTGATGTTGACGGTGGAATATTCGAAAATGTATTATACTAGGTAAACTGTACCACCTTTCTCACTTGAACAATAAATACCGGTATTAGAAACAGTACGTAATATCTCTTTCTTATCGACAATTTTGCAACCGTACAGTGAAATAGCTGTAGCTCGGAAACCGTTCAGAATAGAACACGTGTACATATACAATTTTTTGCTTAGAATGACCTATATTATGGTCTCCCAGAATTTTGACCTTTCCTTCTGGGACACCCTGTATATTACAAAGCGTGCACTCTAACAAATATTTTCGTACTTTTTTCATAGTAGACAATAATTTATTGCCAGGCAGTTTAATCTGACAAGTTTTCAGGTGCTCAAGTACTGATGAATACAAACATGAAATAAGTGTTCCCTGCTCAGGCAGGTTTTACATGTTAAAAGTGTTTAGACTTGAAAAACTGACAGAACAGAATTCATAGTAGAATACCTGCATAAGAAGTGAAGATCCAGTTTTCATTCATTCTTTCTAACTTTAGTCACTTTTCCTCTTCAAAATTTCTTCCTTTGAAACTTGGAGGTAATTAAGCTGAGGCCACACAAATGAGCACCAATAGAGGAAATTTTTAAATTTGTTAACCTTACTTAATGAAGTGGAATGCATTTCCATCTCAAAGGGGTGAAGGTGTTCAGATATTTTTGTTGGGGAAATCAATGTTATTTACGTGTTACAGATATCTGCAATCACTTTGCATATGGCCGGGAAGAAGATGCTCATGAATTTATGAGATATCTTTTACACAGCATGGAGGAAGCATATCTCGCAGGCTATATTGGCGAGAAGTATGTAAAACCTATTCCCATTTCAGACTTTAACCTTCATAATTGAATGATGATAAAAGTCAGTTGTGTAGGTGATAATTCCTATTTAGTATATGTTTGTGTACTCTCTAGGTCACATTTTGGTAAGTTTTCACTTACCAAAAACACTTCTTTTTGAAGATTTTCTGTGATAATATTTAAACTGTTTGCCAAAAGTTGGTATAAATTATGTCAATTGACGTGAAAACTACATTTAGTATACTAAGGAGAGAAATCAAGATGTACACAAAATTAAGTTCTTATAAAAATTGTTCTGTTAAGTTATGTATTTCCATTTTTTCACATAACAGAACATACATCACCTTGGGTTGATAATAAAGTTACAGAAGTCTTTTTCAAATACATTTCCGTGATGGTCTTGTGTTTAAACTTTTCCATGTCGAAGAGAGCATGCCCTGATTGTCTGCTGCAGTACTGATGTCATGAGACTAATAGTTTTTTTTCAAAAATTTTGTTTGTTTGTAGGTACAATTTATATTTACAATTATTTTTAAATATACTTATAATTAATTTTGTTCCTTCCCTTTGTAGCACCTGAGAACTATTTAAACCAGGTTATTATGTAGACTGTTGTATATATTATTTACGGAATCCTAATACAATACACAAAATTTAAAACATTTATTAATTTAAGTAGAAGTCATCTGCTTCTAAGAATGTATAACAAATTTGAACATACTGGTTTGAAAATGAAGTCCTATAAAATTCTGGCAACATTGGAATTGTCGGATCAACGGTTACTTGCATCATTATTATTGTTTGCATGTCCTATAAAATGCTAGTATCTGGCTAGAACTTACATCCGTACTACTGTCTGGCTACCAGCTTTAATCTTACTTTCACAGTTCACTGAAACAATCAGTTTGTAGGAGTGATGTAACAAATGAACTTGTCAGTAATATTGACATGTTACATCAGTATGAATACCCTGTATTTATGTAATTCCACTCCTAGAGATTATGTATTGCTTCTGTTAAAATATGTTGAGGTTGTGTTGTAATGATGCTGGACTGATAAGAATATTTTAAATAATTTTTATTCTTCTTCGTATGCAATAGATTTTGATGTAATGTTTTCTTTTTTATTCAGGCTTGACACTTTCAGCAGAGAAACAACCCCAATAAACCAGATATTTGGAGGTTATATTAGAACAGAAGGTATGTTAACACGTGAACAGTTATTTTAATTTTATAACATTTAATTTCTTTTTGAAGTTCAAACTAATCTGCTGTATTGCAGATTTTTAATTTTGTGATTGTTATTCGTATATTACCAGTTTTTAAGGAGGACATTTTCTCTGTCAATACAATACATTTTATAAGCATTTCTTCTTAATGAAGTAAGGATAAACATCTTGTTTTAACTGAAGTTTTTGATTAATTACTTCAGGATACTTCAGTAATACTGTGCAAGTATTGCCCCTCCATCCAAATAAGAATACTGATTATAAGTAACTTTGATGTTATAAAGAAATAAAATCGGTATATTATGACTTAAATATTAACAGAATCTTCTTGTTCCATTGCAGTGACATGTTCAGAATGTGGGTCAGTGTCTACAACATTCCAACATTGTCAGGACTTTCTTCTGGATATTGAACATGTATCCACAGTAGACGATGCTTTAGATGATTATTTCTCCACCGAACGTCTGGATGGGGATGATGCTTATTACTGTAGAGGATGCAACAAGAAAGTTGTGGCTACAAGGAAGTTTTCTTTGGAGAAAAATCCACAAGTTTTATGTTTACAATTCAAGAGGTATTTTATTTCACTTTTAGACATCATACACTTCCTTCTATATTATTTTGAAGGATAGACTGGAAGGTATCAAAGAATGAGACTATATTTGGGTTTCTTGTTTTCTTCCTGTCTGCACAAGTCAATCTCAGCGCACCACACATCAAATTCTCTAGACTGATATAACCCAAAATCTCTGGTAAATTTTGTTCATATATTTAGTACCCATCTTGAAATATGTCTAGTAGTACCAAAGAGAATATTTCCGTCTAGTAAAACACTTTCTTGTGTTTAGAGAAGTATCACATTTTTCATAATGAATATATAAATTTTGTGTCTTAAAGATGTTATCTTCATTCCTTTTCTACTTATTTATGTCATGATACTTAACTTAGCAACATTAATTAGATTCATCTGCCAAGAGAAAAATAAGTACAACACTTGAAAAGTAGTTTTCTACATTCCACCTGGCTTTTGTCGGAACTGCTTGAAAAAGTGATTAGTGTCTTATGGATGCAACATTTTGAGATATATTTATGGATATTCATTAAAATGCAGTTTATGGGCATTTGTTGCAATTCTCTCAATTTACTTTGGATTCAGCAAGAGTGATATACTTATTTGAATTTCTGCAGCAGCTTCACACTTTTATGTATAATTTTCATTATGTTTGGGTTTTAAATAAAATGGTGATTTGATCTTCTTTAGATTATTTCCGTGGTTAACACAATTTTCATGTTCTTTGTTTTGTGAAAATTGTACCACAGATTTCCACTTCAAACACTGAAGAGGAAAGTTGTAAATATGAACATAATGTGCATTACAATAACAAGAAATTAGGTTATGTAAATAAATGTCTAGACAAGTTGAAACTAAAGTGTTTCACATAAGGTATGGTTGATGATTCTTCGCACTTACTTGCTTATTTAAATGTAATATTCTTTGTCTTTTACAGGTTCAACTTCTCGGGAAGGAAGATCGAGAAGCACGTGACAATTTCAGAACGACTGGATATTACAAGGTTCCTTTGTCCTTCATCAGCTCACCATAGCTCAGAGCCACTTATATACCATCTAGTTTCTATGGTCACGCACATTGGTTTATCAGTCAAATCTGGACACTATACTGCAGTGGCAGGAATGTGTGCCGGTCATTACTTTGAGTTTGATGACAAGTTAGTGTATCACATGTCAGTGTCAGAAGTTTTAGAAACTAATGCATACATTCTGCTCTATGAGTGTGAACCTTGTGAGGAACCTGAAGATTCATTAGCATCACAGCAGCGTGAAGGATGTACCACAGCCACCAGAAGGATTAAACACAACAATAGATAATGTTTCGGCAATGCTGATGCTTTACCCGTGCCACCAGGTAAAGATAGGTAAGTACTTCGCTTTGTGTGATTTTTCTTATTGTGGATATTGATAAATTATTAGTTGAATTGAGGTTTATTATTGCTAATATTATTGAATGAAAGGAAAAGGTTTGTCAATTTTTTTAAGGCTGTCAGACTCTTTTCTTATTGGAGGTATGTTTTTAAATAGAATATTATAGATACTACATAATTACATATACATATGTTGTCTGTTAAAGTTTTTTCCCTTAGCTTTTACATTATTTTTTCAGTACCAATTTAAAAATTAAAGGAGTGTAATTTTCTCGCTGTTACTATAGTGAGTACAACTTCAATCGAATTACAGGAATTTTGTGCAGAGGTTGCAGTTTATGAAGTCTGACTTTGTATTGCTGTTTAACCTCTTTTGACCATTTGTCACAGTTCGATACTTCTAAAGTTGATGTCTGGCAAGCATCCTCATAGTACAGGGATAGGTTTAAAGCCCCTGCTTTTTGTGATTAATCTGATTCAAGTGTAACATGTCTTAAAAATTATCTCATAAAGGAATGTTAAAATAATTTTTGTTATGTCATACATTCACAACAAACTTTTAGAACTAATGCTAATTCATTTACATGTATAACCATTGATTGCCAGCTTCTGCCATTCGTATTTACTAATATACCCATTGCTTTTGAGGGAGGGGTGAGGAGGAGGTAGGACCTTGTTCTCACTGGAACCATCCTTTAATCAAACCCCAAACCATTCCAATACTTTCATAGTTAGCTGCCACTTTGCAAAACAGTCCCCATATCCCCTCTTTCTTCTTTCTTTCACTCCATAATAGCAGAACTACGCACATCTCAGTCATACAAGATTTATTTCACTCCCTTATTTATCAAGCATACTTGAATGCTCTCTTCTGTCAGAACATGAGCATGGTGTCTGTTTCCTCTAACCTTATCCTGTTTCATGAGGACTGTCATGGTGTGGTGACAAGGGACATCTTTAGCATGGTTGAAACTAATAAATGTTAGTCTCATTTCATATTATACTTAAAACAAATGGACTCCCTTCCTTTGAAGAATGATTTAGTATGAGACAGGATTATCTGAAACATAATTACATATTTAATGAAGTTTGTAGGAGCTGAAATTATATTTGTGTGTTTAACGTAACATTTACATTCTGAAGGTATTTTTCATGGGCAGATGTTTTATCACATATGAGTAGTATGAGACAGGATTATCTGAAACATAATTACATATTTAATGAAGTTTGTAGGAGCTGAAATTATATTTGTGTGTTTAACGTAACATTTACATGTAACATTTACATTTCATGGGCAGATGTTTTATCACATATGAGGCCCTCCAAAAATTATCAGTCCATAATGCTCAAATTTTCTGAGAATTAACGGGCATTAAAGTACTGCTGAATAAACACCGCAGTTGTACAGTGGTTTTACCACTGAGTAGCACTGAATTTTGCTGCCTAGTTCTCATGATTCATGCCTTTCTTAATTTGAGTGTCCATAATGTTAGAAGAAATTCCATTAACACATCATTCTGTGTTATTGTGTATATTTGCCAGTAACAAATATTACAGCATATAGCTTTAAGGGATGTATCCTGTTGCATGTTGTTTGCTAGGTTGATGGTCTGTCTACATAAAAATAGAGACTATATAAAAAAAATTGTGTAGATGGACTGTAATAAACCTTAAAATATTACAGTATATTTTCTTACATATTTATAGTTATTGTCTGTAATAATAAATATATAATGTTCATCTAGGTTTCATCTCTTAGCGAAACGTGACCAATTTGGAAACCAGTGTATTTGAAGCGCTTCTGAACTAACACCAGTAAATATATTTATGTGTGTGTGGCATGGCACACAAATGTATTTTGAAACTTTATAATTACACTATTTTGAGTTCAACATGCTAAATTAACAGCAGCTTGTCAAAGGCTTTCAGGGTATTCATTTATAACAAATGCTGCATACAGGATACTCATGTTAAGTTGTACTGGAGTGGAATGTATAATAACACATTTTTACTTTGAAATGTTATGTGAAAACAGAATCTGTTTTGCAAACACAGCATGGCTCTTACATTTAATTTCATATAGACCATAAAGGCTATGCTGCTTCATGGAACACAGTCATTTCTTGGATAAAACAGCAGCATTAAATAAGCTCAGTTATTCTAACAAAATGAAAAGGATAAAAACAAATGGTATGCATGAGAGAAAACATCACAGCAGTGAGCTGCATTTCATCAGTCCAATTTGTTCAGCATGGAATTATTCTGAAGTCCTAGAAATGTCACACTGAGCATTAAAACATATTCTGCATCTGAACTTCCATTTCCAACCTTTTAGAATGCGGGTTGTTCAGGAGTTGAGCAATCATGATAAAGCATGTCGTCTCAGATTTTGTAACAGGTTTCAAGGATTGTTGCTGTAAAACCTAGATATTATTCATGAATTGATACTGAGTGAAGAAGAAATCCCTTCTCTAGTGGTCTGAGATTAATCCACAACAGCTGCATGAAACTCCCTTGCTTCACAGCTGCCTGCTATATGCAACATTTGGTTCCAGTAGGATGGAGAAACCACCCATCCTGCTACAGCAAACGTTGATGTGTTATGCACAGTGTTTTTAACTGCATTCTTTCTTATTTCCTCAGATCTAATGGATGCCAAGGTCTTCTGAAGGATCAAGTCTACCGCAAGATACCCCACAGCATTAAGGAATGTAAAGAATGGATTACTCAGGATATACTGTCAGTTGTTTATAATTTACTTATAGTTGTAATACCTGTATGGTACTTTTACACATAGTTTTCAGAATTGCTTAAAGCCTTTTGAATGGGAGTGGAATACTTTACTTTTCATTTACTTATCCTTTGTCACATGAAAGAAAACCATTATGTATAGTATTATTGAAGGATTTGTACCACCTTGTAGCCTAGTCAATTTAGCAACAGAGATAACACTGCTCCTGTATTGAATATAACATATTTTTGTTGCCTTAATTTGAAGCATGTCCCTAATACTTAATCTGAACCAGTGACAAATCGATACATTTTATGTTAATACTAACACAGTATTTGATGCATGGATCATATTGATCTATCTCACAATCGGTTGTGTTTGTGGGATTCTTTGTCACTAATGTTAAACCTTTTTAGTTATATGAATAAAAGACATATAGACATATAATATATCTTTTAATTGCCCATGCATGTTTATAGGTATAATTTTGCATTTTATTTCTTCCTTTTTCATTTGCTCTATGTTTTTATGGATAAAGAATATGTGACTCTTCATTGTTTGTATGATTGCCAGTTTTCAGCCATTTGCTTCCTATTGCTTCTTTCAATAGAATTTAAGTTAAAGAATGAAACTCGTTTCTATTCATACATCTGCATTTACACTTTGAGACTGTGTTGACAACTAGTAGCATGTCATATGACATTACCCATGCGTGTTTACTAAGATACCTAATTGTGTAGGGCTCCAATCACGAAAGGCTGGTGTGATTTAATTTGTCATTTTGCACCTACTGCTGTTTGAGCCTCTCTTAGATGAGTGACAACTTCAAATGGAAATCAGTTTGTAAGGTCTCTTGGAGAAATAACTGTTGAAGCCATGTCCAGTCATAAGAATATGCAGCAGAATCCATTTGCTTGAGAGTGTTTGATATGTTTTATTGTTAATAAAATTATTATTTTGAACGGAATAGAGAAGTTGGCAGCAGATGGCAGTGAATCCTGGAACTGGTGTTGGAGGTTGGAAGTGTGAATGGGTTCAGGCTCTTGGAATGAAAACTTCACATCAGGAAAAGACAAATAGCCTCTGCAGGGGTTGGTATCAGGAACTTTGTGTTACTAACCACTTCAGCTTCCTGTCATACCAAATCAGTGGAGTCTCGTCTTCTGATTCGTACAGCAGACATACAACAATTTCTAAACTGTGTTTCTCCAGTGTCTTGGGAGCCTTGATTTTAAGAATTTGTTCTGGATTCTGCAACAGTAGTATAACAGTTTCTTCCTCATGATTTTATGTGACAGGATTTCACATGCAGATGTACCTATGCAAGTCTGCTTTAACTGGCATAATGTAGAAGTAGACTGAATTCCCATTTCTTTATCCATGAGACTAAATAAAAATAAAGAGAGGCTCTTCACAAGTTTATAGTAAATGAATCAAGGATGAGCAGGGATAACTTTATTTTGAGGATAAAGTTTAATTAAACTTCATTTGGCTGGAGAATATTAATGCAGTTCACTTGTTTTTCATGTTCTGTTGAAGAGGTTGCATGATTCATTGCATGACACAGAAAGTTATTGATTTTATTTTTGTTCACACATCAGGAGTGTTAGGAGTGTCATATTTGTACCCAGGAACTTTAACTGTAAATGTAGAAGGAATGCAAAGTAAATTAATGTTTCATGGTGGAGGGATAAATGAGTTTCTGTAGTATGTGCACAATGCCAAAGGTTTGCTCTCCATGTTTTGTCTACTTGTACAGCATGTGTAATAATTTTCCTTGGCATATGTTACCATGATGCAAATATTTGATATTGTCATCAGATTATAAAAATAAAACCGGACCTACTCTTTTCAGTGAAGTTCAAGACATTATTAACATCAAAAATATATATGAATTTAATTTAGCTCAGTAAATATAGTAACTGGCTATGGACTGGACACCCGGTGTTCGATCCGCAACAGGGGCAGAGGATTCTTCCTCGATCCTCAGTGTCCGGTTTTGGGCCCACCCATCCTCCTATCAAATGGGTTGCGGGGTTCTTTACCAGGGGTAAAGCACGACTGGGGTGTGATGCTGACCACTCACCCATTTATAGTGCCAAGGTCAAGAATGAGGAGCTGTACTACCTCTCACCCCAAAGAACCTACATGGTGTATAGTGGAACAGCTTTTACTCTTTTTACAGTATTATTTTATTAGTGACAGATTTCCCAAATTATTAAAAAACTACACACCATGTGGACAAACAAACACTTGAAGACGGCAGAGGAGACTTTCAGACTACAAGGCCAAAACGGGTCGATATGACCTAACTCTTTGACTGCTTGATGAAAATGATATTTTATAAGTAGTCTGGCAACAATAAGGATGTACATTCTCTTCCTTATAGACAAACTGTATCATTCTGTACTTCTCACTTGGCATAAAGTTAACATAGCCAGATAGTGCAATGTATCAGTGCTCCAAGGACAAAACTGTGTGCTTTGCCTACATCACAGAATAGCGGGTAGAAGGAAAACGAATGCACATACTACACAGCCAAAGACATTACTGACACTGGAAATGAGACAGCCTGCCCCTGAGAAATAATGTTTTCACCACCCTGAACACCTCAAATCCTATAATGTTTGTATGATGGACAGTACTTGCTTCATTATCTGCTGCCTGTTTCCCTTCCATCATCTCCTTACCTTTTACTTCTAACAACCCTTTGATGCACAGATTCACCATGACTACAGGAATCAGATTCATAATGAAATAAATTTAGTTTTGAGAAAACATTTTAAATTCATAACCGTATAAGTCAAACACTTTCGTATATCTATGTGATAGCACTCACGAAATGGTTACGGTAAAGTAAGTATGTAACATATTAAGCTACAAATGGATGTAATTCTCCTTTTTTCAGGTTGAAACAGTGAACTCCATCATGTAGACTGTCATCGTAAGAAGATGAAGTATAATAATTTCCAAGACTACATGAATTACAGAGGAAAAATAACAGAGGTCATTATTATTATATCTTTTATCATAAATATTATAAGTTATAATATCTGTCATCCTCTTACTGGCTAAAACGCTTAATATCACAATGAATCTAAATACTGTAACCATAATTACTTTATTAAAAATAAATTGTGGAAACAAAGATTCTTATGCCTATCTTGGCAGTTAATTTCAGTTTAATTGCAGTCTCCTAGACATTAAATAAGTACAAATTTAATTACATTAGACAAATGTACTACTTTTCAGGTGGAAGTGTTTAGTATATTTATTTGTACTAACTTCGTGGTTTGATAAGACAGAGGAAGCAGGCTATATTGAAATGGCTGCTGGCCCATACACGAATAAACAGGGAAAGATATGTCAGTGTAAGGCACAAAACCAGCAGAACTTTGAGGAATAAGAAGAGGGAGTATCTGAAAGATCAGATAGGGAAGCTGGAAACTAACAGCAAAAATAACCCATCACAGAGTTGTATAGAGGCATAAGGGAATTCAAGAAGGGGTACAAACTTAGGACACATCTGCTCACGAACTCACATGACATCATAGACAGATGGAAAGATTACTTTAGCAAGTTACTAAACGTTCACATAGCTGATCAAGTTAATGAGCCTGAAGTACATACAGCAGAGCCCTTCATCCCGGAAGTTTCAGAATGAACATAGAGAGTGACAGAATACCCTGATAACATAATTTTATATCCTTATTGCATTAGAAGAACTTTCTAATATTGATAGAAAGAGTTCAGGATCTTCGTCTATAGTTTAAAATCTTTGTTAGGAAGAATGGGTCACAGTTGTTTATTAACTAATAAAATATTGAATATCAGCGAATACTCTGAAAGGAACACACATCCAGTGCTTCTTTTCCAAGTGACAGTAGTCTGATCAGCTTGTACAACAATGTGGTTATATGTACCCACAAACTATCAAGGATGTGGAAGCAAACTCAGAATCAATGTGTAAAATGGGGGGAAATATGCATAACATATTTATTACTACAAAGAAGCTGGTTGTGAGATCACCAATTTTACAAGGTTATGTTATACCGGGTCTCATTAAAACAGGAATGCAATGGAGGGTAAAATTTCACTTACCTTGCTAGCAAACCGCAAATTAAAACTGCTGGTGACTTCCCTTCCGTATATTTTTGTACTCTGTGTTGGCATAAAGTGGCAAATACAGCTGAAATTAAAATGACAAAATGCCAACCTCACGAGGCTTTCGTTTTCAGTTGCTGAAGTACCTGTTGTATGATACCAATCTCTTCTGTGATGTGCCACATTTTACAAGATAAAATCACTAACAAGCAAAGGTAGATATACAGTAAAACCTCTCTAACTTGGACACTTGCGGTTCCACGATAATGTGTCCAACTTACAGAGTTGTCCAGGATAGAGAGAAAGGGGAAAATCATCCTTTCAAAGTGTTGTGTAATAACAATGTGGTAAATGTAGAGTATAATGGAGCCCTTCCCAAAAAGTAAATTATTGATAAGAAAAATCAAAAAAGTAAATTAAATTTTTACAAATTTTGTTTTCACTAAATTCAACTTGCATGGATAAGCTAAAAAGGAAGGACAGCAATACTTTATGTTTACTGACAATGTAATCTATTTACTTACATAATCTAACTACTGTAATTTCTGTTAACAATGTTTAACTCAGTTGCAAGCACTGTACTGACAAAGTTAAAGCTGTACCAGCAATACCTACTGTAGTCCAGTAAAGGGTTCAACAAAAGAATAACTATACACTTTCACTGCATTCCAATGATATGCTCAATGTCTCACCCTCAACCATAAGCTAATCCTCAGGCAGAAGACATTCATAAGTCATAAATTCAAAACAACAAAATACTAACTGTAAATGTTTCCCATTAAAGCATTGAAGCTAAGTGCATGCATGCACCTGTCCAACTTACAACAAAAGGGGTGACCAAGTTCCAGGATAAATGGGTGTCCAAGATACAGGGTATTGTGGATATGTAAAATTATAGGATATTCGCCAGTTCCAATTAAAACTGTCCAATATAGAGGGGTGTCCAGGATATATGGGTGTCCAACTAGAGGGGTTTTACTGTAGTAAGGTTTATCTCTCCTCGCTTACAATCTTTCACCTACTCTGACCCCTTTCAACAGGATGTTATGTGGTATCTACAGCAAACATTATCACACATCATTTATATAAATCGTTGTGGGTTTACCAGAATGCTGGACGATGACAATGACAGAAGCAGAATCCAGCTTCCAAAATGCTCTAGTTTATAATTTGGATGATGAACAAGGAGCAAAATAATAATTTTACATATTTGAATGCACTATCATCAGAAACCTTCAGATTTTGTTTAGATTTTATGTTTTGAACTCAGAACTTTATATAATACTATGGATTCACAAGAAAAATGGTTCCTGTGGGGTAATATTAACTGAGAAATAGATAACCCAATTTTAAGCATGCAATGGAATGTCAAAATTTTTAAACACAATGTCATAAAAAGAACAAGGACAATTCACAAATTTTTATATATGCCCCTTTATCACCATCCCCATCACTTTGTAACATCTTTTATCACTCATGTTCTTTGTATACACTGTTCCTATGTTGTTTCAGGGGTGACAACTGTAAGTTGGAAAGCCTGGGAACTTAGTGATACTGTGGAGCAGACCCAAGGCAAGAAGGCTGGCAAGCCTGATGAGTAGAAAGTGGCTATTAGGATGTTGGAAGTGACAGTTGGAGCTGGTGGAACATGACTTGTACTATTCTTCACCAGATGTGTATAAAATGTGCATTTATTGTCCCTCTCTTTTCAGGCTGCAGGTTAGAAATGATACATCTTATGCCATTAAAGGCAACACCAAAGTTGTACTGTTTAATTTTCTAAAATAATATGGTTGATGCTGAAACTAGTGAGCTGGGACTACATAATGTAGGGCCCTGAAAAGATGGTAAAGCATGAAAAACATGTAACTTTGTTAAGGCATGTTATATTAGAGTTTCCTGTGGCAGTGAAGATGTCAGTGTTGTCCTTTTGGGTTGTGATGCTGTGTGGACACTTTTAAGACCACAGGGCATCTGAACCCAGAATAACATAATCACTGCTTTGTTAATGTAATTATTCTATAGAATGTAAAGCAACAACATAATAGTTTAGCAAACATTGTCTTCAGCTTTGAATTTGATTGTGATAACTAATGAACCATTGTAACTGGGCAAATTCAATTTTGAACAGAGACCAAAGAAGCTTGTGAGTCTAATGAAAACGCACTTAAATGAAACCTGTAGCAAAATTCTTCATCAAGAAGGGTCTAAAACAAGATACTTTGTCTCCCTTGCTCTTTAACTTCGCGCTAGAATATGCTATCAGGAAAGTCCAAGATAGGCAGCAGGGTTTGCAATTGAATGGGACACATCAGCTATTGGCATATGCTGATGATGTTAATTTATTGGGGGACGATATGAATACAATAAAGAGGAACGCAGAAGTTTTACTAGAGGCTAGTAGACAGGTGGGGCTACAAGTAAATTCAGAAAAAACTAAGTACATGTTAGTATCTCGTCATCAGAAGACAGGCGGGCAAAATTATCTTAGGGTAGCTAATAAGTCCTTTGAAAGGGTTACAAAGTTCAAATATCTGGGAACAACAATAACAAATCAAAATGACACTCATGAGGAAGTTAGGAGGAGATTAAATTCTGGAAATGCTTGCTACTTCTCAGTTCAAAATATTTTGTCTTCCTGTCTGATTTCTAAGAACCTGAAAATTAAAGTATACAAAACAATAATCTTGCCTGTTTTTTTGTATGGGTGCGAAACATGGTCTCTCACTCAGAGGGAGGAACACAGATTGCAGGTGTTTGAGAACAGGGTGTTGAGGAGGATATTTGGGCCTAAGAGGGAAGACGATGGGGCGTGGAGAAAACTGCATAATGATGAGCTTAAAAATCTGTACTCCTCCCCCAGTATTGTCAGGGTGATTAAGTCGAGAAGAATGAGATGGGCTGGGCATGTAGCGCGCATGGATGAGACAAGAGGTGTGCACCGGGTACTGGTTGGGAAACCTGAGGGAAGAGACCACTGGGGAGACCTAGACGTAGATGGGAGGATAATCTCAGGCAGGATCTATGGGAGATAGGAGTTGAAGGAAACTGGATTTTGTTGGCCCAGGACAATTACTCCATTCACACACAGAAGAAGGCAATGGCAAACCACTTCTGGATCATCTGCCAAGAACGTATATGAACAGGTCCCAGTCCAAGAAAAGGATGAAAGGATCCTGTTCATATGGACCTGTCGTCAGACAGAACACTAAATAAATAAACTGTTTGGAAGTAAACCATTACAGACATGTAAATTTGATGGCGTCTAAGAATCGGTACCTTCTTCCTTGACATGGACTCATTGGTGTATATATAAAAATCGATATCGAAACATTATTATATTGTACGACTAAAGCGCAACGATAATCTTTATGTCCTTAGCACCAGCCATGGAACAATAAACACAGAGACAGCAAGAATTAAAATTCCGTATTCATAAACAGATGTTTAAATATTGATAATTACTATTGTAATAAACATATTTTTCCTGAAATCTTAAAACTAAACCAAGGGTATATCTTACAATTGATGGCATCTTAAAATCATGGAAATCCAGTATTAGCACATAACCTACTAAGAAAATTTGCATTACTTTGTAAGCCTATTATTACGTTCAGTATGATGTTAATTTATTGGGTTATGATACAAATACAATAAAGAGGGACATAGAAGTTTTACTAGAGGGTAGTAGATAGGTGGAGTTAGAAGTAAATTCAAATTATATCCCTATTATAATTATTTTTGCATATTGAAAACAGTTAAGAAATAGATGCTGAACTATTTTAAAAGTTTAATGTAGAGTGTGTTCTGGACACTTTCCATTAATTTAAAAAATACAAGTACAGTAAAACCCCTCTAGTTGGACACCCCTCTATATTGGACACTTTTAATTGGAACCGGTGAATATCCTATAATTTTACATATCCACAATACCCTATATCTTGGACACCCCTTTATCCTGGAACTTGGTCACCCCTTTTGTTGTAAGATGGACAGGTGCATGCATGCATGCACTTAGCTTCAACGCTTTTATGGGAAACGTTTACAGTTAGTATTTTGTTGTTTTGAATTTCTGACTGATGAATGCCTTCTACCTGAGGATTAGCTTATGGTTGAGGGTGTGAGACATTGAACACATCATTGGAATCCAGTGAAAGTGTATAGTTATTCTTTTGTTGAACCCCTCACTGGAGTTTTAACTTTGTCAGTACAGTGCTTCCAACTGAGTTAAACAGTGTTAAAGGAAATTGGAAAGGTATGCTTTCCCTCATAGTCAACCAGGAATGGTTCAAACTTTATTCTGATTGCTGCGAAAATTAGAAAGGGAATGGACAAATTCCAAGATAAAAGCAAAAGGCAGTGTCTTGTGATGAAATTTTTTACAAGAAATAAGTGACATCATATCTTGAGCTAATGCCGTAAGTACAATTAAAAAAATACATTCTGAACATTGCAACCATGAGAGTGGGTTTCAAAAGATTATTATTATTGTCATTAATTCTTAATTTGAGCAAGCCTACAGTAGTTAGATTATGTAAGTAACTAGATTACATTGTCGATAAACGTAAAGTATTGGTGCCCTTCCCTTTGAACTTATCCAGGCAAGTTTAATTTAGTGAAAACAAAATTTGTAAAAATTTAATTTACCCTTTTGATTTTTGTTATCAGTAATTCCCTTTTTGGGGGGGGGGAAGGGCTCCATAATACTCTACAATTACCACATTGTCATTACACCACAATTTGAAAAGATGCTTTTCCCCTTTCCCTCTATCCTGGACACCTCTGTAAGTTGGACACATTATCGTGGAACCGCAAGTGTCCAAGTTAGAGAGGTTTTACTGTAGTTAGAAATATTGTCATTACAATGACAAACATAATATAGCAACATGTCCTACTTGCAAGTTAAGAAAGGGAGTTTGACAGCAGTTTTCACAATTATAGTATCTTTGGGAGACAGACAAAGAAGGACAATTTCTTTGCAGTACCAAATGACTGAATTGGACATTTCTAAAGCCATTTTATTCCATTCATTCAACTGGTTGCTGCATCAACATTCATTGTGGAATTTCTTCTACTGTAAGTATTCACTTGTGGGGGGAACCAGACACATCCAGCATCACAGTGTCAATAAGAGTCGTGTTAATTATGATTTCCAGTAAAATCTATATCCAATTAGAAGTGAAATAGACAGCCTGGAATGTTGTGTATTTGATTTGTAATTTTTTTGTCAGAACTTTGATCCATAAGAACACTGTGAAGCAGAGACTGCTACGGGCATGTGCTGTATGCCAGTAGAAAGACAGTGAGAATTATGTTTTGAACACATATCAACCATACAAAATAATACGAGGTCCTCCAGGTTGGGGGTTAGTCGCAAGGCTAACAACCTTGCACGGTAAAAAGTAAGATGTTTCGAAACCTCAATCAAAGCCTCGGACAGACGGACTTAACAGAGCAGTGGAGGATAGGACCGAATGGAAGAGAAGAACTGAGGAGGCCATGGACCAAATATGGACCGGAGAGCCATAGAAGAAGAAGAAGAAAGTAATACGAAATGTCATATTTGACAAAACTCAATCTGTCAAAGTTTGGTTCAGAGCTAAAGAACTGCTAGAGTTATTTCGGCTTCATGTGTCAAGCCCACAGCTGCATCTTCCTCAGTTTTCACATATTATTCTAAATTAAACTGAAATACACAACTGTGGGGTCAAGGTGAGTCTCATGTGCCACCTGTGGTGTGTCAGTGCACAGAAACTTCTGAATCATCATGTATATTTAAAAAATGCAACAAAGAGAAGAATTTCTTGTAAAAACTACACTTCCAGTAATTTTATTTATATATTACTGTGTCCTTGTTGTGATATCTTGTGGGTCAAGTGTGTGTGTCTCTCTCACACACACATGAATGCACACACGTGTAAAAATTTGCACATGTACACACACCAGAGCAGGCGATAGTTCCATACAGTGCATTAGTGCCATGATAATTAACCTTCATATTTAAGCTAAAAAGAAACTAACTATACATATAAAAACCAAAATACCTTTTGTGTAATATCATTCAGTAAGATTTTGAAATATATGTAAATCAAACAAAACATAAAATTCTTACACAACCATTTATGTACTGAAAACTCAACCCCAATTACAAGCAAAACAAAATACTAATAAAACTATAATTACATATCCTATGGTTTCCTGTATTCATTTATCAAAATATTCCTAAGACTCAATTACACATTCATGGTGAGTATAAAAATGTACCTTTTCCTTTACAAACCACACACCAACTATTTGAGTTTTACTGGGACTCAGATTTTGAAGCATTTGACTATCATCAAGCACACTGCAGAATTCACATGACATACTTCAGAATGAGCAACTTAAAAGTCTGCTTCATTACCAGAAGTTATCTCATGCAGAAGTGACCTTTCAATATAAAAATGTAGCACACAGAAACCAAACATTCATAGAGATATATCACATACCCTTCACAATGTAATCATGATTGAAGTCTCCTAAGGATTAATATTTTCTTTCTTTTAAATTTCTGTCACGCTGATGCAAGTTATGTAATACTTTCAAAGAGACAACTAATTAATAAATTATCAATAATAATAACGTTTTATCTTTGCCATTCAGTATGTATAAATAGAAGGCATGTGTACAAACCATTTCCAAAACTGTAATTTATTTACAGGATCAGAACAGCTCAGTTAGTATAATGATTATCTACAGGCTAGACAACCAGGGTTTGATTCCTGACAGGGGCAGGAATTTACTTTTGCCACCATGTCCAACTAGCTGAGGCCCATCCAACCTGCTGTACAAAGCACAGTAAATGCTCGTTCCATGGGGTATAATGGTCAGGGAGCAAAGCTGACCACCTACACCCACTGCAAAAGTTAACCTTTATTGTATGGGAAAAGGCAATATAAACCCTCATACCTCAGCATGCCAGCTTGATTTAACTCTGTGGTTAAAGGTTTGGCAGTATACTACTGTAATTCAAGGTTAATATCTTGAGCTATGCCTCCACTCCTCCATACATCATGGTGTGTGCTGAATTAAGCATAGGAACCAGTTTGGAAATATTTGCAAATAAAAACTTCCCAACTCTAAAATTTTGTACTGTCAGTCACCTGTTGATATGCAGGCTGAAAATAAGTAACATGACTATAAAGAATAAGTAAACACACTTGTCACAGAAAAATAAATTTAGTAACTGAATAAGAGAATGATGCTGTTCTGACAGAAAGACAAAACTTTAAATGTTCTAGATATAATCAGTATACTGACTTAAGGCACAGGCAAACATAATCACTGAACACTGCTGAAATAAAATGTTTGTCCCAAGTGATATATGGTTATGTGGTGAGAAACAGAAATATTAGATAACCTAACACTCGGTGTAGGCACACATGTATGTGTTTTATTTCTTGCAATTAGAATTCTGTAGCTTTCTGTATTATGGGCATTTGGGAAGTATTAAGTCTCCATGGGCCGGCGCAGTGGCCACACGGTCTGAGGCATAGACCTTGTGCGCCTGGCCATTGCGACCGTGGGTTTGAGTCCCACTCAAGGCATGGATGTTTGTCCCCTCTTCCAGTCTGGTGGGTAAAGACTGGCCATGGAAGGCAAGGCAAAACCACCGTGGTACTTTCACAAGAAAACCCCGATGGGGCGACGAAGGTCAAGCTGACCATAGATGATAAAAAAAGTCTCCATGGAAAGAGAACTACTAGTTGTTGGTACATGACTGTTTGTTATGGACAAAAGCTATTTTGTTTAAATGTGTAACAGTGTACAGTATTTATATACTATAATATTATATCGAACATGACTAGCCGAATAACTGAACACACAAAAATTCTTAAAATAAATCTAGAAGTGTTTGAAGGTCAGTGGATTTGCTGTGCTTATCACAGCAAATCCACTGATCTGAAATATCTTTTATAATTTGGAAAACTGTTAAAATGATGACTGTTCAGAAAACATCAAACATGTTTCAAGCTGACACTACAGCTGAAAACATATGGTCAATTACATAGGATGACATGAAAAGAGATGTCAATGATGACAGGAAAGCTGCTATTAATGATTTTAGACTAGATTCTGTGAATTCAAACCTCTGACTGGATACATAATTACTGGCCTTGGTCACAATATACCCCATTCCAAGATGTAATCAGTGTTGTTTCAGTGTATCAAGCTTCAAGTTTTTCCACAGAATGTATTAAAAGGGTTTTAGACTCAAATAATCATATTGACTCAACAATCATCATGACTTAAAGAAAGATAAAAAACATTTAGCTGCAAGTCATTCAAGAGTAACATAAGAAATCGTTTGTACGTACTTGGTGTACTACACAAATAATAAAGATGAAAGATGAGCCATTCAAAACATATACCAGATACATACATATAGAAAAATTTGAATGGCAAAAAGTTTAACCACATTTCTTTGGATTAAATACTATTCCAATTCATCTATATGAAGTTGTAAGGAAAATGCTTACTTCTGTGAGTTGCTTTTAACATTTTAGATAAGTAAATAATGTGCTGTAATGTCATATCTACCAAATTTTTTTACATAAAATTCATCTGTAAAAAGATAATTACAAATACTTGAATAAAGCACAAGAAACATGAAGTTTTTATTCAAGTTCATCACAATATAAAATTAGCCCAGCATCCCTATTCATCCTTATGAAAGTTAAATCTCTTTTAAATATATAAAAATTTACTACTCTACATAATTGTCTCCTTACTGTGTTTAATTATACTGATGTGATGAAATAAGTGACTTAACACAGTATGTTATACTTGACAGTGGCAATTTCATAGTGATAGGTATCCAAGAAAGCATAAACAAATTAAAATAACTGTACCAGTTTACATAGGATGGAAGACAGAGTAAAAGTGTAGATGAAAAATTACAAGAAAATGACTATGGCAAACTAATGATAAGTTCTGAAACACATATGAAAGTAGGAGCATATTCTTATACAAGCTTGTACAAGCTTGTCCTTGTTATGGGATGTTCAACCTTTCCTGTTTTCCTTTCTTCCATACTATATACACTTCTTATATTTCTATTTAATATGAAAATCATATGAAAACTGTTTTAAAGTCATCAAACTACTGTCAAATTAATGAAGGATTTTAATGACAGTTCATGACTGTAAAACAAGTCCACTCTCCATAAGTTCAATTTGTAGTTACTTCATACATCTGTGTCACAATGATGTGAATTTAAGAAAATATGGAGCAAACAATCTTGAACTTAACACATCAGAGACCGTTCCTATTTCATGTTCTGTAGTACCAATTTGAAGCCCCTGATGAATACATTAAATCAAGACAATCTAAGGCCCATGTATTATTCTGTATACTAAACAAGTATGATGAGAATTTGTTCCATTTGTTAAAGTTCATGCCATTATTATTCTTATAAACACTGGCTCACTTCACTATGATATGTCCCCATAACAACCAAGACAAAGTAATAGTCTATTTGTACATAAAATCTTGTTCTAGCATTTCATTAACCTCGATATCAAAATGTCAGTAACAGACAGACATTGGAATTACACTCCTTTCAACAGAAACAATAAAGATTATATCCCTTTAGAATTATGTAAAAATATATTAAGACATGCAAGTTCAATTACTGGAATAAACAGAATTACTCGATATTCATCTTCTGGGTTGTAATAAGCGAGGACTGGGAAGAAGACTGATAAGGTTCTAAGGCCCATGTATTATTCTGTATACTAAACAAGTATGATGAGAATTTGTTCCATTTGTTAAAGTTCATGCCATTATTATTCTTATAAACACTGGCTCACTTCACTATGATATGTCCCCATAACAACCAAGACAAAGTAATAGTCTATTTGTACATAAAATCTTGTTCTAGCATTTCATTAACCTCGATATCAAAATGTCAGTAACAGACAGACATTGGAATTACACTCCTTTCAACAGAAACAATAAAGATTATATCCCTTTAGAATTATGTAAAAATATATTAAGACATGCAAGTTCAATTACTGGAATAAACAGAATTACTCGATATTCATCTTCTGGGTTGTAATACCATGTGGACTTGCAGGTAGATACCAATGTTTCACAAATACAGTAGTATCCTACAAGTCCATACGGTGTCACAACCCTGAAGACCAACAATGACAACTCCACTGCTACAACCTCAGTTCCATACACCATTACTGAACTTCCATAGCATGTTTTGAAAAATACCTGAATGTATATTAATAATTTAATTACTGCTTCCTTCTTTGTCCTACAACAAAACAGGGGTAGAGCGATTAAAAATATGAAATAATTTTGTAAGCAATACTACAATTAACATAAATGTTTACAAGATTTGATTCAAGTCAAGACTGTAGAGTTATACTATGAGAAATAATCTTGATGAATTCCTGGAAAAGATGTAGTACCAACATTTCTGTAAGTCAATAATCACACTGCATGTCCCTACATCTTCAGTCTTCAACTGACACTTGTACCATAGGTTTCAAGTCTGGTGACACTCCAAACTCACAACCTGTCGATGCAATGATGTCCTCAACACCAACACCATCTGCTATCTCTATGAGTGTGAGGCCCTCCTCCTTATCAACATTAAACACACCCTAGAAATGTAAAATATTTAGCATTACTATACATGCATCTCAAAGAAGAAAGTTTTAACTAATGACACATGTGGAAATGTCAGTGGACATATATTAAATGTTGGTTGTGTAGCCGGACAAGTCTGTGGATCATGCCCGGCTTGTTTCCCTAAGATATGATCTAAGTTATGAAGGACATTAGTTTTTAAAATTTATATTTCACAAAGAACATGGGCTGGCAACCCATTGAGGTTGTTTTAGTTTACCTATGCTCATAGAAGTAACTAAAACACATTCCATCATAATATGTGACTGGGGATTTAACCCAGAACCCTCTGAATGGGAGTTCAGTATATTGGTGAAAATGTCTATTAAATTGTCAAAAATATATCTCCACATAAAAATATCACATCTTTTATAAACATAATGAATAGGCTTATAAAAAATCTCCTTATATCTGAAATCTATATTACAATCATTGCAAAATTTTGGTCCCAAATTTTCTTATACAGTATGCACAATGGTCCTCAGGGTCTTAGCACTTACTTCCATTT